GCCAAAACCTATTCTTATTCCAGCATTCTTCGTTTGACTTTTGACCACCCAATAACGTTATAAGAATAGCATCTACGATAAACTCTTTACTTATATTCCACATGTCCATTAGCTGCCAAAGTGCATTTTCTAGGTCCCCTTTCATAAGAGTATAATGAAACGCATAGCGACCATTTTCGTCAGCACAGTTTAAAATATTAGTAGAAGAGTTGTAATATATTTCCGCTATATGAAGTTGCATAAGGACTTTTTTTATCAGTGAACATCTACCCTTTAAGGCAATATAATGCAACGGAGACCGTTTAAATGGGAGTCCGCACTTATTGAATACAGTTGGTCTATACCGAGCAATTTTTTTAAGAGTAGCTGCAGATGGCTGCATATTTTCATCCATGCTTTTAATAATATGTGCTCCAAGAATTTCGTCTGTAAGTTGTGTATGAAATGTCCACATAAAGTTAAACACATGTCCACTTTTGATTAGAAATAGGTACAAAAACGGTTCCATGACTGTTTGAAATTCCTCCCATTCAAGTTCTCGTATCGTAAACATAAAAGATATTTCCCATGCTTTTTTAAAACAGATGCACGAGGGTTCCTCAGAAAAGCAATATTTAAACTCATTCAGGAATATCATTTCAGATTGCGGGAAAAAATAAACACCGTCAGCCATCTCATTTCGAATATACCTAATCACATTGACTTCAGCAATTGCATATTGTACTGGTGTCTGTGTATTAATATCTTTTTGATTCAAAAGTTTTCTGAACTCTAACGAATAGTTGGTTGATATATATTCGATGATAGAAAAATGGCCATTTACCAGTGCATAGTGTAAAATATTTCTTCCGAACACATCAGTCGATTGAATATTTGTTTTACATATTAAAACAAAATATTCGAAACATATCAATGAACTAAATTGGAAGTTCATCACGTTATCAAACTTAAATCTAGTCTCCTTAGAATGTTGATCGAATAAACACGTATGATGCAAGAACCCTCTTTCATTTATATCCTTTATATCTGGAATTACGATTGCAAATTTATCTGTCAACCGATGTAAACTTTCAACTGATGGTGTAATCGCAGATATATGATATGCAGTAGAACCATTTTTACATTTGATACTGCTAAAATTAAGCCTTAAAGTATTTAATGCAAAGTCAATAAAATAAATATTTGCATCTCTTGCAGCAATGTGAATTGGATAAGTTCCTTCTTCATCAGCTGAATTCCAATCAGCATTAATGTTTTCTTTGATAGCATACTTTACAAAATTTTCTCGCTTATATTTTAAAGAAAGATGAGCAAATGTAAAACCATTTTCACAAAAATGTTGTTCAATACCTGACAAGCCGTCCTTCGTTAAACTGCAATCATCCATAAAGGCGTGTATGTAAAAAGAATTCGGATAGCATCTATCTGTTAAAATATAATCTGTAAGTAAAGGAAACAAATCAAACTGATTTTTCACTACACTTAGCAATGTTGCCGTATACCCGAATGAATCTGTGCAATTAAGTAATCCTGGATTTTTCTTTATTAAAAGTTTTGCTACCTCCGTTGAACCTGACCTAATTGCTGCGTGAATTGGTGTTTCCTTTGCTATTATCCACCATTTATCAAGAGGGTATATGATATGGTAAGAAGGACGCCGTTCTATACGAAAATCACGTCCTACTTTAATGCTTTCAAAATGTTCTACTTCCATCTCTTTAATTGCATTTCTAGACATTTCATTAGATATACAACTAAGGGTTAATTTTCGTTCACTCAAAGACAGGATGACATTTTCATTTCCGGATCGAGCAGCATAGTAAAGACAGTCGGTTAGCATATCATTGTCCAAATTGGAAAATGTCTGTAAAACATTTAGTTTCCCCATTTCACAAGCAATATCACTCGGACGCTGTCCAAGGGATGTTTTCCAATAGATCATATCTTTGTTGTATTCTAAAAGTTTACTTACTATATTCTCATATCCATGTTTAGCAGCTATATGTATAAGGCCGTATCCATAGTAACGAGATTGTTTTATAGCCTTTATTTTGTTTGATATATCATAGGAATCTACGGCATAATTACTTTCCATAACAAAGCTAACGTTGGCTCCATTGTGTAGAAGAAGCAAAAGCTGGTCAATATTTCCTTTTAAAGCTGCTATAAAGGATGGGGATTGTCCCTCTTGTAGTGTGTTTACGTCAAGATTGTGATTTATCAATAATGCAAGGGCATCTATACCAGCTGTCTTCCTTATTACATTATGTAAAGCTTCGTTTACATGGGTTTGATTAAGGTTGTCCATATCCAATGCAAGAAACTTTTGATTTAACGTATCATTTAAAGCTTCACTCACGTGTATTGATAAATCTGCTATGTCAACTTCTCGTTTGTTAGATATTTCATTGAATAAAAAGCACGAAATATATGCATGTCCGGCTTTTAAAGAAATTGAGTACTTTTTATTTCCAGAATTTATCAACCACTGGTATAATGATTGGTGAAATATTGTAACAAAATTATCATTCCGGAGAAAGAATGACAACTTGTTCATGTGGGTACGGAACTGTACTAAACCGGTAATGTTATTTGATACCAAAATATGAAAAATATCCTCTTCACTTAAAAGGTTAAAGGATGCCAAAACAATTTCAAATATTGCCTTTGATGTTAAAAACGAACCAGTATTGTCATATTGCCGATCAAAGTTTAATTCATAAATTTCTTCCAATGAGTCAGGTAAGGACTTAATGTTATGATTTGCTAAACGGAATCTAATTGCATGAATTAGAAAAAGGAAATTTCCATCACATAGATTAATCAATTTTTCTATTTCCCTGTCATTGTTTTCAAAGCCATGTGACGAGTACTTGACTTGTATATACTCTTTGACATCTTTGATATTCCTTGAGTCGCTTGGCTTTAAATAAACGTGTTCCAAATTTTTTAAGTACAGTCAACTATCGTTATCTCGACATCGCTTTTCTCGATATTTCGTTACCTCGATGAAATTTTGAAAGTCCCGATTTTCTTCCTTCTTTATCTATATTGGAAATATTTGTTTATCTCGATATTTCTATTTCGATATTTTCAGTATCTCGATGTAAAATTTCAGCCCCAACAGTTATTATCACACTATTATCCTTTGTTTATCTCGACTTCGTCCGTTCCCTTCAGACGTGTGAAAAACACAATCTAGACGATAATTGCTCAATCAATAGCGCGTGTCATAATGTCGATTATGTTTGTAACAAGTTTAGCTGTTTCTATAAAAGTTTATCTATTTAGCGTGTTGATTGACTTATGTCCACAATGAGTGAATTTTACATTCTTTTTAAATATTCGAACACTGTATCAATTCATTATGACTTTAAATGTAAATGAAAAGTGAAAGTATAGAAACGCTATCGTTGCAATATTGTTTCACAACATCACCACCAAATCAATCAGCGGTGGAACAATCTCGAGAAAGACCCGATAAATAACCCGGGAGGATATCCGGATCAACCATATCCGATATCCGATTCACTATATTGGTGTATTACTGAGTAAACCTCACTATGTGTTTTTATCACAGACACCCGTATTTCCGCTGGTAAACATCCGCTTATGTTACTTTGTTAAATATTGACTAGGCCTATGAAAACAAGACATGGGGATATTATAGTTTATTTGACATAAGGTATGCACATGTCTTTTGTAAAAATCAGTTTCGCCTTGTTCTAACCCTAATATGTTTATCTCGACATTTCGTTATCTCGATATTTTTTGGACGGTCCCAATGACTTCGAGATAACGAGAGTCGACTGTAGTATAATTCAGTGATGTTCCTTGACGTAACAAAAACTTTGAACCATTCTGGTAGTTCCCTTACACGTTTAATTAATAACTCCAAAATCAGGTTTTTGCCAGAGGATTTTTCATAACATTCGTCAATTGCCTCTATAATAAATATCCAGGGAAAGTTACTATCAAAGGATAGCTGCCTAAACGGGAAAATAATACTTTGGTCAAAACAGGCAATAGGGTCATTCTCACAAAACTCCTGACTGTATATTATGTTATCATCAGACATTATGGAAATTTTATTTCCGTATTCCTCATATCTTGTTGCTAAAAAACCAATTAACCGTCGAATAAATCTAGCAGGACTTTGTGTACTTTTTACATCAAACTTACAAATATGAAATCCAACAACATGTGATTTAATCTCATAACTCTTCTCCCTTTCTTTTGCACAAAGTATATGTGAGACAAACGATGATTTACCATAACCCATATCTGCTATCATTGCCACTCCCTTGAAAGTAGAGTTCGCTGATAAAAGTTTCGATTCCATTATCTCAAATAACCATTCCCTACCAATAATTGGTTCGCTATCATAGATATATCCAAGTAGAGGCAAGTCTTGCTTGAATGGATACGTGTATTCTTCTGATAAACAATCTGAAATAATTATCATTGAATATATAGGGAATATTGCATCAATTTACATCAATTATGATTATTTGTATTGCTCGAGTTGATTGCGAATAGTTGTATTATCAGGAGCCAGCGAGGCGAGTGTAGTAACAGCTTTTTCCAAATTTAGGAAAGGGATTCAAGCTGTAATAGCACACATAATTTTTCATTTCATAAATCCCATCTGTATTCAGTAAAGTATCTATAAAACTGAAGACCCCTTTTAGGCGTTTGCATATATAACGTCAGTACATAAGTAAGACGTAACAACTCAAGCAACACAAAGTGTACACTACAGAAAATCTGGATACATATATATACAATGCAATTTTTCATTTGAAAAAGACCGTTCTGTTATACTTTTGCAAAAGAAATTTTAAGGGATTAATATGAATACATTTATATAACAGCACTATGCATTATGTCATGAGAAACAATTGAATTTTGAATACTTTTAAGGAAACATAATATTCAGATCATCATGAAAAAAGTATAAATTTAATGTCGTAAATATACCTTTGTAGCTCAAACTGTGGTTAATCCTTATATCCATAATAGTTAAAACATATTGACAGAACAATTGCAATTATTGCTATGAATATGATGAGGAATCGGTGTGACATGAAGAAGTTTAGCACTAATTCTTTATTTCCAATATTTTCTTCTTTCATCATTATCATATTTATCACACGTTCGTGATACCGTCGCAAATTTCTTTCCATTTCATTTTGTTTTTCTTCTAAACCCCTGACACTTGCTTGAATCTGGTATTGTTCATCTTTTATTTCATCATTTGTATCAATGACTTGGACATGACGCTCATTTTCTATTTCGACTGCACTATGCAGATCGTTTTGAGATTCCATCAATCTATCAGCTATGTTCTGTAAATGTACAATGTTGTCAGAATGTTTACTTAAAGCTTCAAAAATGCTTTTAAGTGAGTTTGACAACATATCACCTTTTTCGATTCTGTCAAGCTCAGACAAACAATCTTGGGCATCAATGTGCAACATAACATCTGCATCTTTAAAAAGGTCTTTCAGTGCATCAAACACTTTCGCCTTCTCCAAATCTGTAACCCTTAATCTTGGATTATGTGCGATAAAGGTATTTCTACATTCTCTTAAATTGTGTAAGACATGCTGACGAATCATGAATATGTTTTTGCAATTGTCCCAAATATGACACGATGTCGAAATGTCTTGAAAATCTTGATTTGCCCATGATTGTGGCAAGAAATATGGTGTAATACTTTCATATGAAGTTGGCCAGTTCCACGACATCATCTTTTCGAAGTAAATATTTTGCAGGTTACTGGCATCGCACAGGTATTTTCGCCATACACGGCACGTTTCACACCAACTGTTGATGAAAAAGAATGACTTTTCATAAAGAGGTGTGAACGCTCTTTACTTACAGTATAAAATGCCTTTCTACAAATTCATGAATGTGTAAAATTTGTAACAAAAAGAAGTGTAATTTATGTATACGCCTAAACATGACATTGTATAAGAAAAACTAATGATTGATCTACAATGCCGTAACTATCAATAAAATAGGCCTTCAATTTAGAAAGAAGATTGTTTTGCAGAAATTGACTTGCTCGTTGTACATAATCTATCTTAGATTTTAAATTCTATATGTGGCTCCTGTTTCTGTTTGTCCGATCTACATGTCGATAAACTCCAAATAAAATCTAGAGTTCTTTTCTATTTTATCCTTACAAAATCAGTCATCTTCACTTGGACTCTTAAAATACAAATGTACCACATAGAGTTCGCGGTTCACCAAGCAAAGAAGGATACGTTTGTTAACTCAATTTTGTACAAATGAATATATATGTAGATACCCCCCACCCCACATGCGCACGCCATGTATTTATGGTTTATCTAAACAGGTTTGTAAATTTATAATAGGTTTCCTTCTTACTTCTTAAGTATTTAAGATAAACAAAACATAACTGATACAATGAAAATATGCTCATTTTGCCTTCAATACCAACCGGTTGCCTCTAGGCCCTATATAGAGATGAAATTACTCAAATAAATAATGAATCGGGATCTACCGGACTCGATCCATTATATTTGTAAATCTAAACCATGTCCCGGAAAGTATATTCCAACTGAGATCAAGACAGTGTGATCCTTATAAACCATGCAAGTGCTTCCCTGTGTTTACCTCGATATTTGTCGTGGATAAACCTCACTGCATCTCTGGGTACAAGGTTGTTTGCCAGCTAGCTTACTATACGCCGTTCTATGTATTGATTTTAGACCATTCCTCGTGTAAGCTTCAAGTTTAATTCCAGCATATGCAAGTCCGTGAGAACAACAGATATAGTTCCTGTATTCAGGGTGTCGGCACAACTCATCTATATCCATATTGAGCGTAGTATAATTATTCTTTGTAATATATATGATATATGGGGGTTCTACGATATAAATACTTTTTTATGCCCCAAAAGGAGCACAGACAACAAAAAATCGTTGAAACGGCAAAAACTGAAATATTTCCCAAACAATACTGCAATACATATATATCGTAGTATCCGAGAGATTGTGTAAACACATATATTGCAGAGATCCGACGCAAAAATAACTATTAATAATATATGTAGGTTTATTTAAACTAGGGTATCTTTACACATTCACAAATTTGGTTTACACAGATAAAGCAACTCGTCATGTACCACTCTGTGTCTTGTTACATTAAGATAAACTGTCAGTACCACTTCCCAATTAGATTAATGATAAAAGTCACACGCGTGTTACTTTTGGCGGAATATTTAAATTGTAAGTGTAAGCTATGAACATGTATTAACATTGTCACATGTTTTATAAGTAATTTAAACTTCCACCTCCGTATCATTGTCTTCTTCTACTCTAAAATCCCTGAAACGAAAAGACATGAAGATGTTAATATACCCATTTATCAATTGCAAATATGTATTCCGGTTTGAGTATGTCGTCATATACAATAGATTAAAGCTGCGGTTATATTAAACAGTATGACAGTAATAAACATTTAACCATGCAAAGCGGTGAACAGAATAAAACGTTCTAAATAACTGAATGTTTAAAAGTATAAGTACCTTCCATCTCCTCAACTTCGTTGTCTGTCTGATCCGTTCCCATAGCCCCGACAGACTCGATCCATTGTTCTGTTTTAATATTTGGTGTCTCCTCATTATGTTCCCAGTCTGGATTAAAATCATACTTTTGTTTTGGTGGCATTGGAACGCTGTTACATCCGATGTGTCTTATTGTTCCTTGTACGCTTATGTCAAATGACATTGAAAGTTGGTCTTGTAACGGAATCCCTGTCTCACTTTCAAGGAACTTGCAAAGTCGTTCTCTGTGTTTAAGGATTTGTGCAAATGTAAGACTGCACAAGAGTAGACGCGGATAAGAGGAAATAACGCTTGCCAGAGTCATGTACCGCAGCACCGTCATATAGGAACAACTCATATCCTGTTCCACAAATTTCTTCCACTGAAGATTCTCCTTTCTTATCTTTCTATTTAGGGTTAGATATAATTGTCCTCGAAAATATTGCAAAAGAAGTGTTATATCTTTTTGAAATTTTCCTCTTGAGCAACTATTTTTAAGTGTATTTTCTTCAAATCCGAGATACTAAAGGTATCGAATCTCGTGTCGATGTCAAAGTTGGTTGACAGTTTAAAGTTGTTGATCCATTTCCCAGGCTTCGATCATTGCTACTTTCTTTTGTATTTGAGGCAGAAGTTTTTTGGGTGAAAATCTCATCATCAGTAACTTTCTTTTTTTCACGTTTTTGTTTTGGTTGTTTGATCCCCAAAGTCTCGTGGATTGTGTTTTAATCCAGTAACAAATGCTTCTTTTTGCTCACTTTGCAAGCTATTTACTGCAATCAAAATAGCATCTTCTGGAAACTTTGATACTTCCTTCAATTTAGCAGCCAATTTAAGAGTGGCGGCGTGGCCGAGTGGTTAACGCGTCGGGACTAGTAGTCTAAGGATTGCTAACCGCGTGGGTTCAAAACCCTGTCAGGGGCAAGCCGTTTTTCCTTTTGAGCAAGAAACTTTACATTCATTGCTTAATTAGTACTGGTTGGTTCCAGGAACGGATTCGAGAGTGTGTTTCAATAAGCTTATAGCTTCCAACACAATCGAACTAAAATAAATTTGTATAAACTAATTTTAGCAGCCATTATGTTGATCCAAAAGCTCATACACTTATGAAATCATATGAGTTGAATGGACCTGTTTTATCTAATGATACAACATATCAGTAGATTAAAATATCTGTCGCAGTCCACTCTTATGATATGGGAAAGGTGCTGCTAAGAGGTTCTGGGCTTGAGGGTTGCTATAAAATACAGAAATACGCTCTCAGAAAATATTTATTATCGATGAATACGAAGTCTGGCTCGCGCCATGAAAATCTTCAGTAGGAGTGCAACGACAAAATAATGACAAATTACACAAAATCATGAATGGCAAAATGTAGAATAACAAGTATGGGATCAATACAGACATTCATATTTACCTATAAAATACAGAAATACGCTCTCAGAAAATATTTATTATCGATGAATACGAAGTCTGGCTCGCGCCATGAAAATCTTCAGTAGGAGTGCGCATGCGTGAAGGTACTTAGTGCGGAAATAGAATATTTAAGATTGAGGCCCGTACCAATGGTAGTACATACTTGTTAATAAATGAATAAATGAAGAAATGAATGAATGAGTAAATGAATAAAAGGATGAATGTATGGAATATAGGATAAGGACACAAATATAGGACTTCACAATCTACGGTGTACATTACGGGACATACATTTACAAATAACATCTAACATTAATACATCAATATGACCCTGCGACATATCATTACCTATAATGTCCAACGTACATGGTGCGAGATTTAAATCTTATAAATAGTACTGATTACATATACCGGTAGATAACAAGTGCATCAACAATTAATAAATGTCTTATGAGTTATCTTTATTAATATTCTTTATATTTCGGCGGTGGATCGTTTACAAATATAATCTTTTTGAACAAAATTATGTGTCTTGTATCTTTTTTTTTAAGACACTCAACGCTTGTGTCTTTCCTTCTGTATTAACTTTATTCTTTCTGTTTCATCAATCCCAGATTGATTTGAGTGAGTCTTGTCTTTAAGCTCATTATACCTTTGGAGTTCGTTCAGTATAAACTTGAATTCTGAGTCTGATATTTTCCCATCATTTAGAGCCTTTGATATCATTTCTTTTACACTATTTAACTTAGACTCTGCAATCATTCTGATGTCGTCATGCTTCTTCGCTTTTGAATGCAGTCGTCTTCTAATAAACTTGACACATACCCCCGCTACATCACAAACTATTGCTGCAATTTCTAATGGCAACATAAACGGTACTGCAATTCCAATGCCACCCATAATCACACTCCCAGAAATGAGAGTTGTATCAACTCCATCTGTGGCATTTATACTCCTTTTATATTTCTTATACAATGACTGCCTATTGTCCATTTCCTTAATTAACGTTTGCTCTATCTCTGATATTTTCTGTAATCTATAATTTTGCCCATCTTCAACAGGCAACTCAGGATACAAACTCGGCGCTGTCGGTTGTTTCATTTTTTATTAGTACTGACAAAAATTAAAACAATTCAATTAACAATGAAGCAACTGTATTCTCCGTTGTTGCATTACCCGTCTTGCAAACAAAATTAATCACACTTCCAGCATTAACAATAAAAGGTTTATCAAAATTGTCATGTTTTTCTCGGAGTGGTGTTAAGTGTTATTTCACAACCTGGCAATATTTTTTCATCTACAGTAATACCCACCGACACTTCACCACTCTTTCTTTTACTTGAAAGACCTATTCCTAAAATCTGCCCACGGCGCATCACAACATAACCAGCACCGTCTTCTCTACCACCATTCCCAAAAGAAAACACTTCATCTTCCTCAAGAGCCCCTTTACTTTCTGCAAATATTGAAATTACCAAATTGTTTTTCATATTGTTAATGCTATTTTGTAATAAACGGTTGTTAGTGTCAGTTCCTTAACACGGTCTTGAATTTGGTTATGTCTGTCTACCTGTGTATTAATTTGTTGAAACAAACTATCATGAACACTCTGCTGAAACTCTGAAATTATCTGCTGTACATCTGTAATTGGTCTCACTTGCTTCTGTAATTCACGAACATGCTGTGTTAGGACTTCAAGGTCGTCGTTTCTTTTATGTGTTTTGATTCCAAAGATACTAATTTTCATATATACGCATAAAAAAAACTAAATTATTTCAAAAACAGCACTCATAGGTAGGTTATGATTATCAATTTTACTACCGTTTTCATCTTTAACTGCTATTTCAAATTCTGTTATTGCCCCATTGGACAATAGTTTAAGTTCTGGATGCTCAAATCTTACAGACACAATATCACCATACTCTTTATTTTCAATTGGTACAACTGCTAATATTGTGCTTGGTGCACCATTGAAGTAGTTATGCGATGTGTTTAACTGTTCCAGATGTATATATACAGACTTTATTGTTGCCAAATCAACAGACTTATCCCCAACATGAGTGGTATTTGCTTCAAATTTTCTTTTATTACCAAACCCTAGCATCAACTTGAGTCCTTTACTTATCTTGAGTTCATTATCAGTAGTTAGCGATGCAATGCCATTGTTTTCATTTACAGTCAGTGTGATATTCAAACTACTGAATACATCTGTTATCTGTTGGAAGCTATAATAACCATCCTCGATGCGATGAGGTCTCTCTCCAGTTTTTTCCACATATTCATTAACAACATTATACCAACCCAGGGCATATGTAAAACTCTTCAATCCAACCAGTTTGTTCCCTTCTCTGTTATCAATATACTGTTGCAAATTGATAGTGTAATCAATGTTTGAAATTGTGTGATACATATTTTTTTAATAAATCATAAAATAAAAAATGACAGTACAGAAAGTATTTAAGTACAGTGACGAAGCTCACTATCCCCACGCTGGTGTGTTCACTAAGAAACTAATCAACATTATAAAACAATCCATTGTAATTTCATCAGATGGAAAAAGCTTCAGCGTAGATTTCCCAAATGTATTTGAAAAATACATATTACCACACGTAACATCAAATGACATAGTACAACGATGGAATACGGACTGGTTATCATTCTGGCAAAATCAACTAAACTTTGCAATACAGGTTGTGGTAAAGATGTCAACAACCACTTTAAAAGCGGGTGGTTTGACTGGCTCACTATTCTTATTCCACGTTTTACTATCAAACAAGACGAAAACTATTTGAATTAGGCATTGCCCTACCGCAAGATAAAAGTTGGAATGCCTTCAACAACAGTTATGACCGTGGTGCTTACGAACGAATATGCAAAGAG